TGGTGCTGCGGCATGGCGGAGGGTGGCGAGCCGATTGTGAGTGCCCGCCCTGCTGTGCTGCTCTGTCCCTGGGGCTGTCTCCTCTCCCACTTCCCTGGGTCACACCCCCCGCTCCCCTTCGGTGCTGGTCTTCCCAGTGCTGCCTCTCTCCGGAGCGGTCGGTACCAGTGAAGACGCTGACCCTGCCGGTGGGGTGCCCTTCCCTGCCTTGTGCTCCGGTGCTCTTTATGCCACGGTAGTGGGTTGTTCACTCTGAAGCCTAATGGTTTTCCTTAGTGCTGGCCGTGCTGGTGCTGTTCTGTGCCGGCATTCCCTCCCTGCAGGAGTCATCTCTGGGTGGCTCCAGCCGTGGTCCTGGCGGGCTTCAGTGGGGTCCTACTCTACGTTGAGCCCATGGGTTGTGCCCTCGCTGGCAGTGCCAGGGGTTCCCACTCTTCCCTTTCCAGTTGTGGAGCAGCTGTGAGCCCTGAGGGCTGCCCAGCACTACTAGCGGGGTGGGGAGGAGGTTGGGTGCCCCCCACTTTGGGAGCATATTCAGCTTACCTATCGGTTAGTGAGAATCTGCTGCTTTTGACTCCAGATCCTTGAGGACTATCTGCTGGTGGAAGATGTGCCTCTGCTGGACATGGCCGAGGAGGATGAAGAGCTTGACTTGTATAATGAGATGACTTTTGGGTTAGGTAAGATCTCAGGGGAGCTCCAGTGTCGGGGAGATTAGTCAGCACTCAGTGGCGTGAGGAGGATGGAGGTGGGGGGGTGAAGAAGGTGTCCTCCTGCTTGGTGAGGAGCTGGGTTGGGAGCAGGACCCGTGGTGGGCACTGCCCAGGCTCTCACCCACCCTGACATGCTCTGCCTCCACCCTCTAAGACCGAGACTCCACTGAGGAGGATGCCACAAAACCCTTGATGCCTCTGGAGACGAGCCCTGAGCTGGCCAAAGTGGTGGCAGAGGAGATCGAGGCCAGGGATGAACTGGGTCTCCAAGTGGCTGAGCAGCTTGAGGAGCTGGGAGACCCCCACGAGGAAGGTGGGATGGAGCTGGAGGTCGAGTTGGAGGAAGAGGAGGAGGAGCTGGGAGCTGACGAAGACCAGGAGTGCTGTGAGGAGCCAAATGACCTGGGAGACCCGGCAGTGATGAGAGCTGTGCAGAGCAAGCCCACACTGGAGGTGACGTGTGAGCAGAGAGGGAGGGGACCCATGCCTGGCTGGTGGGCAGAGGGGCTTGCAGGGACCCACTGTTCTCCCCTCCACCCCCACCCCTGTGGGTCCTGCCCCATGGAGGGCACCTGCCTAAGGAAGGAAGATCTGCCATGCCAGGGCTGGGTGTGTCCCTGTAACCTCTTCTTTGCTTGCAGAGCCAGGACTCAGCAGTGCTGGACAGCAGGATTGGTGCTTGCTGGGCAGAGTTTGGCAAAGAGGATGTGGTAAATATGTTCCCTCCCATCCCATAATGAGGCTGAGTGCTTCCTGTAGTGTCTCTTGTCCTCCTCCTCCTGTCCTCCTTCCATGTGCTGACCACCTCTTTGTTTTCCAGCTGGCGATGGATCCTGCGGTGTGGGGAACCTGCCCTGGCAGCATCCCACCCCACCACATGCTGGAGGTGGGTATCCTCAGTCAGGCCCTTGGGGAGCAGCTGAGGGCTCCCCGGTACCCTGGGCCAAGGGTCATGCGGGTGATCTGGGGTGACCAGGGAACCTCCGAAGCCTCATCGTGGGTCTGGAGGTGCACAGAATGTATCTCTTGGGTGGTAAGGTTGTGGGTGGAAGTGCCCACCCTAAGCAAAGCCTGAGTTTGAAGGCAAAGCTGTTGAGTCTGGGGGGATGGGACCCCCATGCTGAGTGTCCCCATGGATCCCCTAGTGTTGCACGCTGCCAGGATGGGAGCTTGGCAGGTGCATGGTCTGCTTGAGCAATCACCAAAAGTTTTGGTGAGCTGCCTGATGCTGGAGGAGCTAAATTGATCCCAGCTGGGCCCCATTACAATCTCCTGCTGCCTCCTCCCTGCAGGATAAAGCCATCCTCCAGGTTCTGGAAGGGCCCCCAGCATCCACCAATGTGGCCCTTGACTTCCTTGGCTCCACTGTGCAGAGGCGCTACGGGGGGTCTCCACAGCTCAAGCACCCTGACTTAAGACTGATGTCTCCCAAGTCCTTCCCCCAGCGCTTTCGCCGGCAGGTAATGGTTTTCAGGGGGCTCTTGCATCCCTTGTTTCTCTGCCCTGCCTTTGCCAGATGTGCAGACTTAAGAACCAGATTGTTTCAGCGACCCCTCCTATCTCCTGCCCTGTAGCAGCCTCCTCTGATGCCTCGCTCTCCATGCTCCCCCCGGCCCTTCACGCCGGCTCACAGACCCTCTCTGTTCTTCGCTTCTAACCAGGTAATGCAGTGGGCTGCAAGCCACTAATGTGTCCCCTCTGAGGGGGTCCTGAAGCAGCAGGGGATGGGGATGGTGCCTCCCCAAAGCTCTGCCATCCAGGACAGACTTTGCAGTTCCACCTAATTCTAAGCACCCATCTCTGGTGTCTTGCCAACGGGGAAGGTGGAGTCACTGGTGTGGCTTGTAGGACCTGCACCAGGCATGGTGGTGTGCTTGGTGTCCTGCTACAGCACTGGTGATGGACCCGGGGCACACAATCCTTGGTGACACCTGGGTCCCCCTGTCCTGCTATAAGTGGCAGGATCCTGGGGGATATCACCTTGCCATGGTGTCCCATGTGTTCCCTCCATGCAGGGAGAGGGTAGCCCCTGTGAAGATGGGAAACAGAAGCCAGCACAGAACTGGCAGACACCTCTGGGACCCTTGGAGGGGTCAGACACTTGATCACTTCTCTCTCCCTCCCCAGACCACTGGGTATGTGTCTCCGAGCTCTTTCCAGCCCGTGTCACCCAGTATCAGCAGCCCGCCACGGTCTCTCACCATGCACTTCGGTCCCATGTCTCCCTCTTTGGACCCTGCTCTCTTCTTCAGTCCATCGGCCAGCGGACAGCTGAACCTCAGGTAGCAGGATTGCAAGTGGGGTGCCCAGGTGGGACTGGAGGAGTCCCACTAAGCAGCTGATGGGGTGTCCCCGCTCTGGGGATGGCTCTCGTGTGGGTGCTGAGCCCCCTGACCCCATTTGGTCTCCTTTGCAGCCTGCCCAGCCACATGACCCAGCTGCACCCCCAGCACCAGCGGATCCTGACCCAGAGACAGCAGCAAGGTGGGCAGGCACAGAGGTAAGGGGGTCCCTGGGGAGCTGCAGGGTGGGAGGGTGGTGCTCAGGGCTGTCACAGCAGGCTTCAATCCTCTCCTGTGCCAGCATCTCTCCCAAGAAGCTGTGGTCTCCTAAAGTCGACCCTTATGCTGGGCTGATGACTTCCAAGGAGAAGGACTGGGTTGTCAAGGTGGAGATGATCCAGCTGCAGAGCGAGAACATGGATGATGACTACTACTACCAGGTGAGCTCCTGCTGGCAGCACCAGTGGCTTATTCTGCTCCTCGGGGCTTGAGACTTCATTTCTTTGGGAGCTGGAGGGTGCCAGGGCTGATGGTGCCTCCACTCCTGGCTACACCTGTTGTTTCAGACATACTACCACCGGCTGGAGCGCAGACAGGCTGAGGAGGAGCTGCTTGGTGGGCGCAACAAGCAGGAGCCTCCCAAGCTGGTCACACCCTTCATCCAGAAAGTAGAGACATACAACTCTGGTGAGGGGCTGGGGGGGGTGGCAGAGTGCCAGATGAGGGCTCACAGGACGTGGTTTCACCCTATCCCATCTCTCTCCCAGTGGTGCGCATCGCGGGCTCGCTGGGACAGGTTGCGGTGTCCACTTGCTACAGCCCTCGCCGGGCCATCGATGCTGTGCACCATGCCCTTGTGGAGGAGGTAGATGAGGGGAAGCTGGGCTGGTTGGTGCTCTGGCTGCCCAGAGATGCGACTGAGCTTTCCCCAGGCCCTGGAGCAGCTTTAGGAGCTGCTGCAGCCAAGTATGGTTGCTGCCCCATGCTGCAGGATGGGGCACACAGTTGGAGCAGGTGCCACCTCAGCAGTGGCAGCTTCTCCTCGGCTATGGGGTGGGATGGGGCTCTGGACAGTCAGAGCTGGCTGTGGCCTCCTCGTGGGGTTGCTCTGTATCCTCTGATCCCCAGGGAGCTGCTGGCCCAGCGCTCTGCTGGTGGTGGTGTCTGGTGCCAGCTGTAACTGTTGTGCTTTCTCCCCTCCCGAAGGCTGCAGGGAGCCACCGGCTTCGGGCGCTGCACAGGATTGAGAAGGTGAGCAAGCTGCAATTTGGGGCAGGGTGGGATGACACAGACACTCAGCTTTCATCCAAGGAGCTGTGGGAGGGGATGTCTGTCTGGGCAGGGCTCCTGCATAATCAATTGGTAGAAGATGCTTCAAGCTGCCCACCTGTGCAATTTCTCCAGTTCTTCCTACAGCTGCTGGAAGTGGAGGAGATGCAGCGGAAGATGTCCCTGGCCCCGGAGGAGCAGCAGCCCTGCTCTCAGGTGCAGAAGAGCCAAGAAGTGGAGTGTATCTACCAAGCCTTGAAAATCAGGGCTTGCAGCAGCAACGAGTGAGTTTGTCATGGGGAGAGGTGAGTGGGGAGCATGTCGTGGTCCTTGCAGGATTCAGATGGTCACAGAGGAGTAGTTCTGGGCGATCCTGTCTGTGTGTCACCATGGCCTGTGATGACCCTACCCTGGAACCTCATCCTCCACTAGAGCTGATGCTGGTCCTCCTGAATAGACAGAGATGCTGCAGGTCCCTGAGGACCTGTGTCAATGGGGAACCTTTGTCCTCAGGGAGGCAGAGGATGAATTCCTGCAGCTACTGTGTGTGCAGAAGGGCAAGAAGCTCATGGCCCGGCTGCTGCCCCACCTGACCCGAGAGCAAGCGGAGAAGATCCTGCTGACCATCACCCACCACCTGCCCTTCCTCATGAAGAAAGACATGCTGGACGAGGCGAGCACCTCCAGCCAGGGCAGGGGCATCTCAGGCGGCCTCCTTCCCCTGTGGCTCTTGCAGGGGGGTGCACCCTGGGCAATGGGGGGTCCCATCTTGCTGGATCACAGCATGGCCAGGCAACTAGTGGGGTTGATGTGAGGCAGCAGCCTTGTTCCTTCTCTGAGGAGGAGGAGAAAGGTCTTCAGGAGGGGTTAAAGCAGGTCCTGCTGGCACTGTCCCCCCAGGGGGGTGCAGCATTGACCCTTGTGCCCCCCACCAGGTGTTGGGATGGGGCTGTGGCCATGGTGGGTCAAACGGGCTCAGATCCCTGCTCTCCCCTCTGCCCTGCCCAGTCTCTCCCCCTGCTCTACAGCCCGTTGAACAAGGTGGTGGGCAGGATGACCTTCAGCAAACTCATCGAGGTCCTGCAGGAGATGATCAGGCCTCTGCCTGAATCCCCTGAACTGCCCCTCACCATGGCCTTGAAGAACCAGGTAGGTGGTCCCAAGGAGGGGGGACCTCGGGGTGCCACCACCATCAGCCATGACACTTCTCCTGCTGCTTCCCTGCAGTTTGGGATCTCCTTGCTGTACTCCCTGCTGAGCCATGGTGAGAGGCTGCTGTCCTCTGATGTGCCGCTGGAGCCACGCAGTGGGGACTTCGAGATGTGGTGAGGGGCTGTGCAAACAACAGGCTTTGGGGTTTGCTGGCTGGTGGGGTGCTCACCCCCTGTGTTGATGCCCCCAGGACAGACATGGTGTTCCTGGTTGCTCGGGAGCTGTCACAAGTGCCCAGGGCCTTGCTGGTGGAGCCTCTCTTCTTGCCTAGCAACCTTCTCTCGCTCTTCTGCCGCTACCTGGACAAGCAGACTGTCCACCACCTGGAAGCCAAGATGGAGTGAGTACTGCCTGGCATTGGGGTCCCTGCTGCAGCCAGGGATCCCTCAGATGCAGTGGATGACATCAGAGGCTCACTGCTTCTGTCCCCTTGGGGACAGCATTGGACACATGTCTCTCAACCTCCACAGGGCTGAGCTGATCCTTTTGGCTTTGCTCCTGTTTTTAGTGATCCCAGGACCATCCTGGCTGATGCTGGGTTTTGCATTTGCAGTCAGGTTCACCACACCTTGATGGCATGTCTCCATGGGATGAAACAAAGTTGGGGGGGCCCTAAGCTTGAGGGAACCCTCCCAGCAATTTAGCCAGTAGTTCTGGGGCACGCTGGGGTGGTTGGGCAGGCAGGCTCTAGGCAGCTGCTGGCAGTGTGTGTGTGTGAGACAAACTATGCTCCAACTTCCTCCTGTCCCTGCAGGTGCTCCCCACTGCTGTCGGAGGCTGCCATGCTGTGCTGAGCCATGGGAGAGGGGAACGGGCAGGGCCCGATGCTGTGACTTTGAGTTTTGAAGCGAACACTTACTCTGGTGTAGAGCACTCTGGGTGAATTGGGCACTGGCAGGGCTGGCGCTTGAGGGCGGATGCCGATCTGCCCTGGTGCCTGGGAGCACAGCACGGGGAGGCTGGTAATTTATTTTGGCCTTGCACCCAGCAGCAGTGAGCAATGGATCATGACGAGTGTCAAGGCAGGGTCTGCACAGGGGCGCTGGGAGCACCTGGGGGTGAGTGACTTTTGTGTACAGCACTTGAAGTAAAATAAAAAGGTGATTAATGAGCTTCTCTGACTCCTGTGGGCAGGTTTTGTTGTAAGCATAGGGATCCTGGAGACATCACCTGGGCATGGAGACCCCTGGTCAGGGACCTGAGTGCACAGTAAAGGGAAGGAGCAGCAGGGGGGGATGCGTGGAGGACCCAGAAGGAGGATAAAGGGGGATGGAGGAGAAGGCAATGTGCTCAGAAGGGAGGGGAGGGAATCAGAGGACCATCTGTCTGAGGACAGAGGGGAATTGAGCCCCCAGGGAGGGGAATGGGCTGGAAGAAAAGGGATATGGTGGGGAAGATGGAGTTGGAGCTTGCCCCGAGGGGAGGGGAAAGATCTGTGTATGCAGAAGGGCGCATCTGGGTGTGCATGGGAAGGATATTGTGAACACACATGGGTGGGTAATAAAGCACCTCTTCTCTCTGCTGAGTCTCAAAGGCTAATTAGTCTAAAGGATTGCAGACATAGTCATGAAGAAGTTCTTTTGGAGCACCTTGAGCCACTTTGACCATGACTACCCCAGGCTGACCCTCACTTCTGCATCTAGGGCTGAGGGTGTGCTTAGGTGTAACATCTGCTGTCACTGTAGAAATCTTTGTGGCTCCTGCCTGGCTAGTATGGTGAATATAGTGGGATTTCCCCTAACCCTATGGGACATCTGAGCCTAGGACACCTATGCTTAAGCACCTGGATGTCTGTCCATCCAAAGGTCTAAACTTGACACCCAAAGCCTGGTGTATATTCTGAAGAGATTTGTACCAGAAAGTTGTCTCATCTGCAGACTGATAGCTTGTGCCCAAGCTCCAACCCTGTGTAGATGAGAATAGATGAAACTATTCCTTTAAACTGTTGGGCGGGATTTATCTCCACTGCTTATCAAGACAGCTCACATACTGGCTTCTGAAATATACTTCAGAGTAACAACTGAGATCCTGAATACTGCTGTGCAGAGACAAGTGCCACAGATGCCCTGCGGGACCTAGAGGGCACTCCTGCCCTTCGTGCTGGAGGCAGGGTGGAGGCTTTTGGTCACCTAAAATGGTGTGAGGTCCTGCTGGAAGGAGCTCCAGGATCAGGATCATTCTGGCAGCTGTATTTGGCATCCTGATGCCTGTCCTGCTCATCTTGGTTTCCTACAGCCTTGGCCTTTTCTCTGCCCTCAAGACTGGCTTTGCCAAAAGCAGGTTCAAAGCCTTCTCTGCTTACTTCTCACTTTATTGCTGAAAAGTTCTCCTTTGGGACAGCTGTGTTCACCCACTGCTATGTCACTTCAAAAGAGTGACCCTGGAAGGTCGTCAGTGGGGTGAAACCTGTAGTTTCAAATTCACTGAGGCAATCTGGGACCCACCTTCAAGCAAAAGGATACACCTTGCCTCTACAAACCTTAGAAACAATTTCAGATGGAAGGGAACTAGCAGCTGCTCACTGATTTGTAGGGAGAACACCAGTGAGTCTTTCAAGATAAAGATAAGCTGTGTTATGTTTTCAGTTTGTGATGGAGCAGAGTGCAGGCCTAGCACAATGCTCCTTGCCTGAGAGCCAGCATGGATGAAGCAACTGCAGTGTGGTTGCAATCATGTATGAAACCAAATGCTTCAGCGTAGGAGAGTTGGAGATCTCTACTGGACTTTGCTGCTTTGCAGGAAACAGGTGAGACAAAAGAAAGAAAATCTGTCTCTTGGTTACTCTTCTGCAACCAAGGGATCTGCAGCACCCAGCAGCTCCCCTTATGCTTCCCACCTGGAGAAAGAGACCCTCTGCATGGGGCACCACCTGGTGAGTTAAATCAGCTGAGGGGTGTCAGGCAGGTCAGGGGCCTCATCTGGTTTATTCACATTAGGATCATCTCCCTTAACCCAAAGCTGATGAAAGTCCAGGGTGTCTCACCTGGCTCTGCTTTACTTACTACCCTGCCCATCTCCTCCTGGCACTGTCCTGAAAGAACCACCAGCCACATGGAGTGGTGGAGACCCATCACCATGAGTGAGCGACTGCACTGAGGCCTATCGCTGTCTCAGGGATATGGGGCTCATCCTGGGATGTCTTCAGGCTATGGGAAGAATATTTCAGGTTTGCACAAGAGTTGATATTGGATATTTAGGAGAGGAATCAAAGTTGGGGAGAAGGCGGGATTGAAGTTGTTTGTGGCAGTGTCACCTCTCCTGGGCTGCTCCTGAAAATCCTTGAGCCAAACGAGTGGCCATCCTGGTCAGGGTGTGGAAGGGGTGGTGGCTGTGCTGTTGGAGGTGTTGAGGGAACTGTGGCCATGTTGGTCAGGGCACTTGAGGGGGACCATGGCTGCCTTGGAGTTTGGGTATCCCAGGGAGTGTGGCTGTGGCATGGAGAGGACTGTGGCCATCTTGGTTGGGGCATCCAAGGCACCATAGTGTCTGGGTCAGGGCACTGAGGGGTTGGTGGCCTTCTGAGCTGGGGCACTGGGTCTCAGTCGGGGCCCCTCAGCTGAGGGGACCACGGCGGTCTCAGCTGGGGCAGTGGGAGGACCACGACTGTCTCGGCTGGGGCACTGAGGGGACCGCAGCCACCTCTCTCGAGGCACTGAGGATCCGTGGCCATCTTAGCCGGGGCGTTGAGGGCACTACGTGGGGGCACCCGTCCTTGACGCCGTCCCCACGCTGAGGCCCCGCCGCCCGCAGTCCCCTCAGGCCTGGGCTCGCCCCGGGACGCCCGCACCGGCCCCTCCG